GGACTAAAAACATGCATTAAGATGATAAAAAAAAAATGTATTAAAAATATCTACGCTTTTGAGTCTTTCTTCAATTCGATTATCTGGAACGTAAGTCCTACATTTGGCAGTATTATGTTAGACAATGATTGCGTTGCAGCCAAATGATTTCATAATAAGAGAGACTTGGGACATAAATTCGAGTTTGCTGTTTTTCAATAAATTTTGTACAAATTTCCATAAAAAAATATTCGTTTAAATCGCCTTAATCAGCACTTGTTGATACATAATTTTTAAATTTGAATGTATACCTTACAATCGCTTAAAATTACTTATATTATAGCCACTCTTAGACCAGTTTTGGACCTTTTCGATACTCGTACCAGATGGAGTTCAGTTACTAGTTCCATGAAGAGTAATCATCCTTTAAGATGCCTTTAAAATAAACTCTAACTTGAAAAGCTGCCTAATGAATAGCTGCGGACAACAATCCCCGCACCAACTTCATCGTCCATTTTCGAGCCATCAGTATAGATGTTTAGAGTGTTGCGTGTAGCACATAATAAACTGTTAAATCGAATTTTCGAAACAATTCATTGACAGTTGTTCATAAACTCATAACCTTAACCTTAACTCGAGTTTGTGGTGTAATGTGATACCACTATGAAAATCGACATAAAAACAACCATCCGCCAAATGATTTTTTAAAATGACGCAAAATTCTCAGGCCTGGCTGGATAAAGCTTGAGCATAAATCATGGTTCTTGGTAGCGATATAGGTCATGATCAGTTTTTTTTTAATCTTTTTTTGTATCATCTTTATGGATTTCTTTAAGCAAAAATCTTTACTTACCTTCAACACACAGGAAATATATGTATGTATATAACAAATAAATGTTGTACTTATATTAATTATACACTGAACAGTATGTATTAAATTTGCCGGGTTTAAAAAAACCAGAAAGAATACGTTCTCCAACTCCGCTTGTAACACAACCCTCTTCAAACTCAAGTAACAAATATAATATGTACCTTATAAACGTAAGCAACTATCTCCCGCTCTATTTCTATGACCGTGATGTCTAGCTACTTGCATTTTCCGTTTCGTTTCTGTTTTTTTTTTTTGTTTTCATTGCTCATGGTTTAACTCCAGCCAGCACAAAAGTAATTAGCTATCACAGCGGCCATTTACGAATATTGCATGAAAATCGATTTGCTTGTTTTTTTTCTGGGTTTCGCTTACTTTCATTTTATTGGCTAACCTTAACCCAAGAACAAAAGGGACGAACAAGTATTTATGTGTACGATTACGTCGGTGATGGTGGAACACCAAATTTGCATGTCAAAAGTCAGATCAGCGATGACCTTGCAAGTTTATGCGCAACGTGCGCCAAAATACCACTCGGATTACCAACAAAAAGTAATATTCTTAGCAAAAATTACATGCCAAAAACACGAATATATGCATGTGCATATACATATGTACATATGTATTTATTGGAGGAACGTCTGTTTATGCGTTCAGCCAATTATTTGCGACCGCACACTAAACTTGATAGTGACGGCAGTAGTGTTGTTTAAGTTTTAATTATAATACTCCAGTATAAAATACGTTTAGGAAGTGGTCGGAATTTTTTATTTTTTTTGTTGTAGTTGATTTGATTTCATATACTTGTCGTTTAAATAGCTTTATTACGGAGACCATTTTCCATACTCTCAGCGATAATTCAAGACAGCTGTCTCACTGAGCTTTAACCAGATATAGGTCATACTTTTTTCTACTTGAAATATCTTAAGTGAGACTACAAGCATTTGATAAAACTCAAGCGATCAGAATCGAAATTTATATAAAACCCAAAGTGAATTCCAATTGTCCGCTGGGATGCATTTATCTGCGGGCATCAACATATATGCCGCAGACAAATTACTGTAAAACCATCATGCTCATGCATTTACTTAACTATTTTTCGCCGCAAGCCGTGCTTTTTTGGCAGCGTTACTGCAAATATAAACGTGTATTGTATTATATCACATACTCATATATATATATATATATATATATATATATTTACACACACACGATTGCATAGCGGTGAAATGCATACATTACATGTGTTGCAAGTTCAGCCAAGTGCTGCTGGCGGCCGAGAGTAACCGCAAGTTCAGAATAAATATTGGTCTAAAGCACACACGCACACACTCATGCCAAGAAAGCAGTAAAAATATTGTTGCAAAGAGTCGCGTAAAGCACAGTGGCACAGCTGCATATTTATATGCAGGCATAGACATACAAGGTCAGCAGCGCGATTGTCGAATTTTACTCGGTCATATACTATATGTTATTGCGTAATTTACATATATTCAACTCTTATTATATTGTGTGTAGATGTGTGTGGGTTTCAAAACGAAGATATGCGTATGTGTATCTGATCCTTTATAGCTAATCGGCTCAGGCCAACTCCGTTGCCTGAAAATCGGTAGGACAAGGAGGTGTCCTTGTCGCGTGTCTGAATTTCGTATAAAACTTGTTCGGCAATGAATTATTGTTAATATTATCTACAGGACTTAAAGTACAATCGAAAGAACAACTTTAAAATATCAAAAATAATCAATTAAAAAAATGTTTCTAGAAATATTTTCAAGTTAAAACCCAATTTTTAAAGGAAACTAAAAATTTACAATTAATGCATTGATTTCTTTGAGATACGTTATAAAATTCGCTTGGATAGCAATACAGCAAGCGAGACATTTAAGACAGATCGATTTGTTACCTCTGTTGCCAAACTCGAAGAAAATAGTTCAAATAACATAATGCTATGAAGAATGGAAAAGAAATAGTCTCCAGACAAGCCAAGAGAAGGCGAATAATCATTCCTTTTATCGATGATACTTAATATATCAAAGTTTTATATAATTTCACCAAATTGTTTAACAAAAAAAACTGTTAACGTCGATTGCTCATAAGCTATAATACCCCCCCCCCCCCCCAGGAAATAGCATAACGACGTCAAACCGCACGACCGAGGCGTCCAATTGACGGGGCCATTTCTTGAGAAAACATGTTTAAACCGTACGAGTATATTATTGCTATAGGGGTCCGATATAGGCATTCCAACAAATGAAGAGTTTTTTTGGTGTGAAAAGGACTAGTGGATCCATCTTCAATTTTTTCTAAAGGGCAGAGAAACGAAAATATTATTATTCAATTATTATGCCAATTATTCTTACATTTTCAAAAAATATTATAAAACCTTTTTTCAGTTATGAAATAGGAAAAAAAACAGTCATTTCAAAATACCTCACGAGAAGTAAGAGCGTTAAGTTACTTTTCCACTTCAGCTAAAAGCAGAAAAATAGTCAAGAACTCACACACCAACAAAGTGCACAAATATTTTACAGTTATTCAGCGTACTACAGTACTGACGCCGAAATGTATGCTACAGTAGAAAATTGAATCTCTCACCACATATTCATACAAATATCATTCACGTCCAAAATTGTCGTGTCTCACGCCAATGACCACCCACCACTTAAATACAAAAAACAAAAAATGCCAACTGTGCGTAAAAAAGCAAAAAAATAAAATAATAATAAAAAGAAAAGAAATGCGAATAGCAAAATTAATGGAATAAAAAGTAACCAATTGAACTGCAGCACGAGGTGATTGCCACATTTCATGGCAGACCTAGCGCAGGGGCGTGCAGAGGCGGAAATGTGGGCTCATCCGCGGCAGCAGAGACGAATGGGTCACACTGTGTGCCTCGTAAATCAATTGTGCCACATACTCATTATACATACACATCCGTACAAAGATATATTTTTATTGGTCACATTTATAGCGGCGAGTATGTGTGTGTGCATTTGTGCGCCTGTCTGTATGCTATGTGAGTGAGCAATAAAAAGTGAATTTCTCACGCTCATTGCCTCTGTGACATCCGATAAACAAGGCAAATTGGCACAGATTTCATCATCAGTGCGACTCATCGGCCGTCCACCTGCCTCGCGGTCGACTGCACACTCATGCACTTGCACCTCTTGCCCTTGCGAAAATTCCTCAGAGCGACCAACAAGGCTGGAATATACGCGCCGAGTACTTTGTTGACTTGGTCCACCTTTGCCATCCGTTTAATCGTGGCGGACGACGGAAAAGTGGCAATTTTGTAATCTAGCATCAGCTGCAATGAAGCGCTGCCGCCAGTTCCTCTCTCTTTTGGACGCCCATTTACTAGCGTGTGAGTGTGTATGTATGTTTGTGCATGATTTAGCACAATAGCAGTTGCATGGAGGTGTTCCAAATCTGTGCACTTCTGCCACGATACCTTCGAGTGTGGCATAAATGAAAATATTGACACATTTTTAAATTTATGGTATCACTTGCGTAAGCCTATGTGTGTGTGTATGTGTGCTTTGTACATATTTAGTAAGCACTTCATTCAGGTGGGACTGAAGTGCACTTGTTCGATGACTTAAGCGTTACACTCGTAGATATTATGCAAATGGGTTGGATTATCGTCGGACTTTAAGTTTAAAATTTCGCTGGAATTTTCGTTTTAATATATTATTAAATGAAAGAAATTATTTTAAACGATTTATTATGGTGATGCACCAATTTCTTTAATCAAGATTTAAGTTCACAAAAACAAATTTTCAATTTCGGAAAAAAATCTGAAATGTGATGTAACAGTTTTGTGAACTGATCAAAGCACCAACTTTGACAGGTCAAAAAACGCCAAAATGTACATTATACTTTGTGAATATATAAATTATTAAAAACCTTTTCCCAATCGAGATATAGTTATTTTTAAATTTCTACTGTCGATAAGTCAGTAGATTTAGCAAAATGTATAAATTTGTTTAAGATCTTGCTTTAGATGTCATATAATATTATGATTCACCCCTCTGATTGACCTAATGTTGTATTTACTATATATTAATAACATAAAAATTATTTTAATTACATTAATACATACTATATTCAACATTTATTAATTCTCTTCTATCACACCCTACTTTATTTTCAGGTCGTGCTTGTATTTATACTCAGCATTGCATCACTCATTATTTACTTCGTGGATGCATCTAGCGAAGAAGTCGAAAGATGTCAAAAATGGAGTAATAACATTACTCAACAAATCGATCTCGCATTCAATATATTTTTTATGGTTTACTTTTTTATACGAGTAAGTTTCTTCTGTTCTTATGCAATTTCATTAATCTTATGTTCTCGCATCCCCCACCTACCTGTTTATAAGTTTGGTCTTAATACTTTTGCGTACTTGACCATTCAGGAAAAAATTTGGTCTGACCGAATTAGTATTTTACAAAACAATTATTTTATTATATATCGTCAACCAACAAAGTTTTTTTTTTTAAATGAATGAATATTTGTCTATATAATTTGGTTTCACAAAATTTCTTAAAGAAACGTTTCTATAAGAAAATATAATTGCATTTTTTTAAGAATCAATAAATTCATAATTATCAAATGGTAGTTAAATAATTTAAAACGAAAGCGAGTTATACAATTGGTATTCCTGCCCGTATAGCCGCCCAGTAAAGTCAATCTTCTTTGAATATTTTGGACTTTCCAGAGATTCATACATTATATAGTGTAAGTAAATTTGGTTGGCTTTGGCACTATTTTTGAGACAGTAAGTCTCTTAAAATGCTTTATTTTAAATACCTTCGATTATTTGGTATTTAAAAATGAACATACTCGTTATTCGCCCAATTCTGTGAACATTTTGGACTTTAAACAGTAATATAATTACAGTATGCACTCAAGCTTAATTTTGTCACGGATTTTTATGAACGTTACTTTATTTTTGAATGAATAATCTTAAAAAATCTAAAGTTCATTTAAAACATTATGTGAGAAAAAAGCAAAAAAAAATTTAATTTATTGAACCTTACATTAATTTTACTGCAGTAAACTGCATACCATCTGATGAAATATTACTCGGACTGAACAAAACAAAAAAGTTTGTACCAATGTAAAACAAGGAATAGTCCGGATCAAATTTGATCAGATATCATCAAAGTATATTTTGCTCATGTTGTTCAACAGAAAAACGCTGAGAAAGTTTCATAATATTTTTTTAGCAAGAATGCCACTTTTTTCATAAGAATAATAATTAGGTATTTCTCAATTCTTTCAATACCGGCGTCAAACAAGCAAATATAACCAAAGCAACATCTACAACCAAATAACTTCGTACCGTAACTTTTTGCTCAAAAACTCTTAAAAATCTTATAATTTGCTCACCATCCGTCTTTCCTCTCTATTTATATCACTTATTTTAATTATTTTCCATCGATTTTCTATTTAAACTTTCTGTATTTTCTTTGCATTTACAGTTCATAGCGGCGTCCGATAAACTTTGGTTTATGTTAGAAATGTACAGTTTTGTAGATTATTTTACAATACCCCCGTCCTTTGTATCAATATATTTAGATCGGACATGGATCGGTAAGCAATATTTGCACAAATACATTGGCAACAAATAAAATAATTAATAAATTCTAAATTTCAAGCAAAAATAAAAAACGAAATGTATATATGTATGTAATTTTAATTACTTTTCCTTTTCTACTTCATGCATATGCCACACAAAACGCACACAACTGCGCGCAAAAACCAAACAAAAACAACAACAACAACAACATCTGTAAACTACCACACCAACAAACATACGCACACCAACACACGCATGCACCTGTCTCTTATACACATCTAGATGTGTATAAGAGACAGTGCATATGCCACACAAAACGCACACAACTGCGCGCAAAAACCAAACAAAAACAACAACAACAACAACATCTGTAAACTACCACACCAACAAACATACGCACACCAACACACGCATGCACACATACACACACCCACACATACAAACGCACCGCACACCTGTATGTGTTGGCTGTGATCGAAATGGCTGCATGCAATGGATTTTACTCTAAAACCAATCAAAAACAACAACAACGTATTACAAATTGGCCACGCGAAATGGGTTGTTGCAATGCTACTACGCGCACGCAGGTCTCCGATTTCTTCGAGCGTTACGCCTCATGACTGTACCGGATATTTTACAATATTTAAACGTTCTAAAAACATCGAGCTCGATACGCTTGGCTCAACTAGTATCAATTTTTATATCTGTATGGTTAACAGCAGCGGGCATAATACATCTGGTATGTATGGACACACAAACAAACCTATATATATATTTATGTCTATGTATCTCTATAGCTATTGTAGCATCTGTGTACTCGTCACTATGCTAATTATTATTTGCCTGGTATTTCATCCATGGTTTTCCTCCAACCATTTGTACTATCGACATTTCTGTAAAAATCCTCATCTTCATTATTGTTTGCATTTTCACACTCTCTTATATATTTTTTTAATAACCAAATGGCCATCAAACGCTTTGAGCAGCAGCCCATTAGAGCCAGAGAAATTTACGTATGTGTGGCAGCGCGTCAGTGGCTGCGCCTGGTGTGCAGCTGCCGACCGCACTGTTAAAGGCGCTGTTCATTGTGTTGACGGTCATCGAAAAGAAGGTAAAAAAGAAGAAACAAAATATGTACGTTTATGCATAAAAACTGCAATAAATAGTCCAATAGTATAATTCGTCGAAGCTGTGGTGGTGTGCCGCACGCTGGACGCTTGGCTGCAAAGTCGGCCGGTGTTTTGGAGTTAGTTCTGTAAGGGGAACACAGCGCGGTTTACACCACTACAACAGCATTTTTGCACATTGCCGCATGCGTGTGCCTATGTTTCTAAATCACTTAGCTACACGTAATACACAGTAATGACACGCAAATACATGCAATACGTAATTAAAAGTAAAAAAAAAAAAAAAATTGTAAAATTTTTATTTTTATTAGCGCGTAATTGAATTGCAGCATCACTAATTAGCATTGGTAGTTGAATATATATATCAATATGATAATTATCAAAATTTAGTTGAAACAGTTAAAATGTATATGGTTTGGTATTACGGATAGCAACTTGGCTTATAGTTTGAATGTTTCATATATGAAGCAACATTTGCTTTAGTTTTAAAGAAGTCACTAGTAAGTCGGGAAGAATGTAGTATTTTGTGAGTTTCCTCAAAAAAAATTTTGTTCAATAATTAAATAAAAAATTTACAAAATTTACTTTAATAACCGATGATTCATTTTGAAACATTGGGCTTCTCTTAACTCCATAGTCGAACTCTAGGAGTGCCTCCGAGAAAATGTGTCTGGCGCAGAAAATGAATTTTCTGCTTAAAATTATCCCAAATCGGAAAACAAAAATAATTTATCGTAAACATATCATAAAATCATATATCTGAAACAAATTGTCGGATCAAGTTCAAATTTCCGAGAATATTTTCAAATATTTCATTTGATATGCAATTAAATACTTTTTTTTTAATGTAAAAGTTGCTACTATAACCAGTTAAAACACTGTTCCCAGTACCATAAAGAACGTATGTATTGATGAAAGGTAAACTTAAAATGGAACTAGAGACCTTAACTATTTAAAATATAGTATTTTACAAGACTACGGAGAATACCATATTTCTATAATTCAAAAAGATATAAGAATCATCGCTTTAGAGCATTTCGATAAATAATTCGCTTTGGCGATGACAAAATCAATGATTGTATATAGCCCATAAATCTTATAACTCACAAGAAAACCAGTTCTTTAAATCAATGCAATATCCTTTCAGTTTAATCTCAATAAAATTACGCTTTAATCGTTCTCACCCATACAATGGGTTTAAATTTGATACATTACTTGAAGTCGGGGTTGCTCTTTATACATAGGAACTCTGTCCTAACAAATAATGAATACCACGACCTGAAAGTTAATTTACTACTACTTATGAGCAAAAACTTGTTAGGCTTTCTATGGCGTCCCTCTCTAAGTAATCCCCCATAGCACTACACTACCATTGTAGTAAATTTTTTTCCAATCCTAGAAATAGTTGTTATAGTCAATTTCTGATATAGATTCACGTTCTGGACGTGGTCGTCGTCAAAACGACCCTCTTTGAATAATTTGTACCAATCAAAAACACTCGCTAACGACAAACAATTATCGCCTTTTCAACATTCTGGACGTTTCCCCACCAGATATTTGATTTCTCATTCAAAATTTACTTCTTTGCTGAATAACTTCACTCAGATATCACTGACAGTCGTAACAATCCAGAAGAAAAATTCCGACGAATTACGAAATTTTAATCCAAACATCTTGCTATTTTTTGCAAACAGTACTTTGTTCTTTCAGAAAAAAAGTCCCCTGTTCTTTCTGGTGCATTTCCAAAATTAAAAGAGCCAACCAAAGTTTTTGCATATCAGTGTTGGGTAGAAAAGGAAATCAAACTCTTTTGTTAGTATCGGTGTATGAGATAACGGATTTCGATCCTTCGATTTTGAACTATTTCAAATGATCGCTGTATGTGGATTCATGAGTACTAAAAACGCAGACAGTCATTTGGACCACGAGTAATAAATTTTCGTTCGATGCTATCAATTATCGATGGAGTATTAGCTTATAGAATTTATAATGTTAGCTCGATATTGCGACTTTTCAAACAAACGAATCTTTCCAGTATGTAATACATACAAGTATACAGTACATTGTATTACAAAAAGTTTAATAGATTTTCGGTGATATTCCCAATAGTTCAGATCTGAATATGAACAGACTTAGCACAACGAGCAACAGTCCGTAGATTGTAAAATAAATAGCATAATAGAATAAGCTGCTCAGTATAGTCAGGGGCTTGGAGTAACCTGTTTTTTTTTTTTTTGTAATTGTAGTGCATTTGAATGTAGCTTGGTTGCCATCCGTAATGTATTGGCCAATAAGTGTATTTGCGTTTACAATGTATCTACAATGTTATGATTTTACGTTTCTATTTTTTTTTTGTTTTCGTGTTTTCTTCAATTGCATTGCTGCATTTATTTAAAATTTAGCTGGAGAACTCTGGCGATCCGCTGGATTTTAATAATGCTCATCGATTATCCTATTGGACCTGTGTCTATTTCCTAATTGTGACCATGTCAACGGTAGGATATGGTGACGTTTACTGTGAGACTGTATTGGGAAGAACCTTCCTTGTGTTCTTTCTACTCGTCGGCTTGGTAAGTTGTCATTTACATAAACACACATATACAAATACATTGTGCGAATTTATTGGAACGAATTGAAACCTAAAAAAAATTATGAAAAAAATATAACAAAAAAATTTTTTAAAAAGTGTTTACAAAAAAAAAAAAAAAAAAAAA